GGTGCAGCTGGGACAATGTATGAGCCACTGGCAGTGGGTCCAAGATCTAACACTGATGCACAGACTGACTTAGTGGAGCCCATTCTATATGGAGAGATACCCTGCTCAGTCCAGACACAGGGGTGTGGGGGTGGAGGGGTGCCTTGGTCCTGCCTCAAATAGACGATGGGACAGACTTAAGTAGACTTCCTAGGGGAGGCCCTACCCTCTCTGAGGAGCAGATGGGAGGAGGGGGAGGTAGAGAGAGGGAGTAGGGGGGGGAAGGAGGAGGAGAGAAACAAGAGGTAGCAGAGGTGATGCTCAGGGGACCTCATGGAGGGTCTGGCAAACAAAATAGGCTGTTTCGACCCTTCCAGGCAAAGTATCCTCAGTGCACTACAATTAATAAATGTGCCTGGCTGCTTGAGTTTCATTTCGCCTCGGTGTTTTCTTCCACTGTAATTCTGTATCGGGAGGCCACATTTTGCTTGTAGTAATGTGTTTGACTCACCTGCAGCATCAACTTTGGACGGCAGTGGCCACTGGGATTGTATCCCACACTCCAGGTTACTGCTTTTAAAGATGAATGGATACCATCAGCTAGGCTGCTGTACATGCTGAATTCCTCTTCACCACGGGGTGCCAGGCATTTGGGTAGCAGCTGTGGCTGTTGCCTGCTACTTACGATATGAACAAACCAGCCCACTGCCTGTTGGATGCAACTTCATGGGATCCTGGAATGCAGGAGAACGTAGGGGTCATCTAGTTTAGCCGCCCACACATTTCCATTCGGACTAAATCACTTCCGCTTTGGCTAAGAAAGTGGGCACTCCATGTGCATCCCACACACAAACCCCAAGGTTCTTGTACAATCAAACTTTATTAGGTTGCCCAGATGGGGCTAGGGAGAAGGGAAAGGCCGGGGCTAAAGGGCTGCTTTAGTAGGGGTGTTCCAAGGTGTGGTTCATGATAGTTAGAAGGGCCAGCCACGTCTCCTCAGCTGTGGGGATGATCTGGGAGGCAGGCAGTAAGAAGCCTCTGCGCCCGGTGTCCCGAAGCTCAAAAGTGTAAGAATACTTGATGCCCTGGCTGTAGGTCCAGTCAACAGTGCTCCCACTGGCTTGATCTGGGGCAGGAACAAAGACAAGGAGCGAATGTAAGGGTTGGTCGCTGCAAATGTCTACATGGACTGAGGTAGCACCCAAAGCCCAAGCCTTGTGTAATGCCAAATAGAGTATGTCTTCTAGGGACTTCTATTGACACACAGTGGGGCTTCCAGGAAACTCCTGCTGGGTCTAAACCCAAGAGACCAATATCCAGCAGTGGCTGTCCTAACCATCTGTGGGATGCCAAGTCTGTGTAATTACACAAGCCTGTCCGAAAACTGTCTCCACCCTGCAGACTCCACAAAGGCAACCTCTAAATACACCAGAGCCCCAAGCTTAGGTAACCAGGAGTTGAGCTCCAGGGACTCTGGTCTGCACAGGAAAGTGCAAAGATCCCTGGTTTAGGCAAAGCCTCTTGTCTGTCTTCCTCCTAGCGGGAAAAATCTCACCACTTCCCAGGGCACAGTAGCTGACAGAGCTGCTTTTGTGGAGCCAGGTAGTGGGAAAGGGAGGTGGGTTCTGCACTAGAGTCTCACTAAATGAAACAAAACCATCGGACACGGCTTAGAAGCCACTTCCAAAGAAAGCCTGGGATTCCAAACAAGTCCTGCCTTGGCTAAGACTGCAGCCCACTCCCCGCCTAAAACCTGGGCCAATGGCGAGGACGCGTGTGAAGCGGGCATGCGGCTCGCCCAGCTTGGCACCTGTGCCCTGATTTTGCCTGCCAGGCAAAACTTTTGAGGCAGAAAATTCCCCAAACACCCCATACCACATCATAGAAAAGCCTTTACTCTAGAAAGTTCTTCTGCCTGGAGGCCTATTACCTAGACAGATGGCCTCTCCTGGCTTCCCTTCATTTCCTTCACCACTAGCCCAAATTCCTCTCTGTCTGCAAGCTTGCCTCTTACCCTGGTATTCAGCCTCCACCCTAGTACTCCTGATGCCCCTGGCTGGCTCTGTTATTTTCCTCCTCTGTCTCTCACCTAATCTGCTGTGGTTTCTAAGGCACAAGGCCAGTCTTCCTGCCTAGAATGTGTTTGCTCCTTTTATTCAAGGCTATAGTCCAAGCACACAAGATGAGAAAGTGCTCAGGCAATGCACACTGACTGTAACCCACATGCTTGTGGCAATGATTCTCCCAGGGGTATCTCCCCCGTTGTATCGTGTAAGGAAGTGGGTGGAAAGGCATCTCTTAAACAGAATTTTACAGTGACCTATAAATCCCATCAGAGTTCCACAGAGTTCCACCTCATCCGCGCAGGAACCCAGATGTAACCTCAAGATAAGAGGACAGATGTGCTCAGGAGCCTACTAAACAGTGTCCGGAAGGACAGGGTTCATATCAGGAGAAGGCGCTGCCCACCCTCCGGCAACTCCCAGATCTGAGCACCTGAGGCAAGAAGAGCTGGCTAATGCCGGTTTCTGGGTCACCAGTAACTTACAGATTGTATCAATGATACTGCCATACGTGTACTTGGTCCCATACAGAGATGTCAAGGCCGCCACAGCAGACTTAGCGAGCTGATCCTGGAGAAAAGACCCAGCAGCACCACTGTCAGGGCCAGGGTAGCCCGAGGGCCGTCAGGGGAGGCCCAGGAGTGGGCAGCATCGTAAGGTGGCAGAGGACATGAAACCTGCCCTTCAGGTCAGCCCTAGAATATGACAGCAGCATGATCCCTCCATCTCCACGGGATGGATGGTTGGTACTCCCCTTCCAGGAGAGTCCACAAATTCAGAGTCTCATGCTCTGTCATGTGACAGAAGTAACTCAACCACACTATGCTTCATTGCCCAGAGAATGAAGCAGGTCACCTTCCTGGTCAACACAAGTCATCCTGCCAGACTTCCCAAATGGTCAGGAGACTGTGGGGAAAGGTGGGCACCGGGACAGTGGTGGGCTCTTAGCCCTTAATCAGCTCAGAGGGGCAAAACCCAGGTTCCTAAAGTGGGGGCACAGAAGGAGCCCGGACAAAGGGCAATTGGGGTCACCACCTACCAGCTCCTCCTTGTCAGGGGCTGGTTCTGATGTGTAGCCATAGGGGTAGAGAAGGAGCTGGGAGTAGCTGTGGATGGAGATGAAGGCCTTGATGTTCCCATGGTTCGTCACAAAGTCCACAATGGACTTGACCTCCACTTCAGAGTTGGCAAACTTGCCATGGTAAGTGTCCGAGCAGGGGTTGCTACTAGCTCCGGCCACTGTGGGAAGGCAGAGGACACAGCTATTTCTTAACTCAAGTGGTGAGGCTTCCACAACGTCCATGGCTTTCAGTACATTTCATGGAGTTAGGGAGAAGTGGGGTGCAGGGAGGCCTAACCCCCTCTCCTGGCTCAAGGAACAGCCGACCACCACATCATCTGGAGCCCTGTCTCCTCTACTAGCCAGTTTGGGGTAGAGCAGAAACCCATTTACATAGGAGCATGGCCACGGAGGGCAAGAGTTGATACTAAGTTAAACATCCTCAAGAGATGCTCTGAGACCCCAGTTCCATCCACATGGAACTTTCTTCCTACAAAGGCCCACGTCCCTGAGTGCCACCTCCAACCCTGAGAACCCTCAGGCAGAGCTAAAAGTCCACATTCGTCCTCATTGCTGAGTCAAGAAAGGGGTCCTAAAGGGAGGGCAAGAAGCCATGTTGTCCATCCCTGCCCCATAGGAGATCTTACGCCCAAAGCCAGCATCCCAGTTCCTGTTGGGGTCTGCTCCAACGCAGAGGGAGCCCTGTGTGCGTGATCGGGTCTTGCGCCACATGCGATTCTGAGGAAGGAAAGAGGATGGATAAATCAGGAAGTCTCCCCGCTACACCACCCACTGTGACATTGGCCATAGAGTAAGAGCTATTGGGATCAGGGCTGCAGCAAGGGTCTCAGCCAAGGACAGCATTGGCTTCCCAGGGACATTTTATAATGTCTAGAGGTGTTTTGTACTATTTAGTATGACTGGGTGAGGAGTTGCTATTAGAATCCAGTGTGTAGGTGAAGAGGCTATTCAACACCCACCATGCACAGATAGTTCCCCAACAGCAAGGAATCATCAGTCTAAGATGGCCATAGCGCCTGGGCTGAGAGTCCCATGAGGGCAACCTGCTTGCCCCTTCCTTCCTCCACGGGGGAGGGGGTGTCACTTTTGGGGCTCAAAGGTACACCCTGCTGTCCTGGGGAACAAAAGGTCTTCTGTACCGTTTTATGGGTGTAGGCAAAACCATCAGGGTTGGTGACAATCTCCAGGAAGATGTCCATGTTGTCAAGAATGGCTGTGAAACCTGGGTCCTTGCCATAGTCTTCAGTGATCTGGGGAGTGGAAGAGAAGATAGAGTGTTGGCCATGTTGGTACAACAGACTCGTTTCCTGGCCTCCCTTTGTGGCCATTGCTTCCCGGAGGGGAGATCCAGCCTCCCGTGGTCTGTGAACACCAGTTCCCCAACAAGCAAGAGCCTTTCTCATTCTCCAGCTTTACCTTTTTTGCAAACCAGACCCCACTGGCCTGGGTGACCCATTCTCGGGAATGGATGCCGGTGTCAATCCAGATGGCTGGGCGGTTGGTCCCTGCAGTGCTGAACTGAAGAAGAAGGCAGGGGAATGGGTAAAGGGCAGCTTTCCATCCAGGCCTCAGTTCATTCCCTCCACCTTGGCCAGAACTACCGGCTCTCTATATACCTAAGGACGAGGGAGGCTGCTTTGGGGGCCGCCTTTGTGGAGTTCTGGGACCATGGGCCCTACAGGGACCCTACAGAGCTTGGGTTCCTGACCTCCAGGCCCTGGCCCTGTTCTGATGCTTGGATAATCCACTGTGGGAGGTCACCAGGAAAACAGTCTATCTGGATGCAAGGACTCTGCAATACCTCTCATATTGCAACACTTGACTGACAACCCTTGGGTGTAGTGGTGTCTTGTGCAGGGGCTGTGCTAATCATCTCTGTATCATGAGCAGCACACATACTAAAATTGGAATGATTCCGAGAAGATTAGCACGGCCCCTGCTCAAGATGCCACTACACTCGGGTCACCTCAAACGCTGTCTACATGCATATGGCCACCTAGGGCCTGTACCCGGATTGTGTAAAACAGTGCATTCCATTACTCAAGATGCGTAATCTACACCCTTATATGGAGGTCCACATGGGGGCCCACTTTTGCATATGTGCCCTTGTCTACGTGTGGGCCTCAATTACCTTCAGCACATAAATGGGGCGACCTTCGAAAGTGTTGCCAATCTGGATCTTGCTTACAAGCTGTGGGTTCTCTGCCACCAGCAGGTCCATGAATTCATAGATCTGAAATGGGGGGGGGGAGGGGAGGAGAGGAGGGACTTAATGGTTTCTGGGAACCCAGATGCGTCCCTCAGCAGCCCTGTAGTGCTGTGCTGGCACAGCTGACCACAGTGGCCATGCAGAAACAGTAGGGGTTACCCACAGCCAGGCCAGCCTTGGGCCTGATCTGCACTCTGCCAACCATGAAGAAAAGTATGGGACTATGGGCAGAATTTCCCAGGGTTGCCCTCACCTCATCCAGGGTGTGATAGGTGGCATAATTGAAGGTGTCAGTGGACAGGGCCCTGGCCTGGAAGGCGAACATCTGCTCCTGTTCCTCCTCCAGCAGGGATTGCACATCTTCAATCATGATGTCATAGCTAATGTCTTCAGACTCCAAGAAGACTTTGACAGCCTGGATGCTGGGGAAGGGCACCCGAACATCGATGGGGATTCCGGCCCGGACAGGGTCCCGCCAGAAGTCCAACTGCGAGGGACAGGAGGCAGCACTGTTTGTTACAGCGGGCTAAAGGCGCCAGGGGGAGCTGGGGAGGGCATTGGCACTAGCAACTCCCGCATAGCCGAGGCTGATGCCCCCATGCCGGGAGCAGAGAAACAATGGAGAGGCTTTGGAACTGGACAAAGCCCAGTGTGGTCAGGAAATGGCCATCAGATTCTCAAGGGCACCAAGATCTGAACCTGGGTCTTTCTCAATAGAGCAGCCTCGTGGCTCTTTGCTGGGAGGCTCGGCCAGAGCCTGAGGGCTAACTAAAGGGTGGTGGGAAGCGGCGGGGGCCTGAGGTGTCCTGTTGGTCTCTAGGGAGACCTGCAACCGCATCGCTAACCTTCAAATGCTCCAGCTCCTCCAGCTCCTTCACTTTCTGCACTTGAGCTTCATCAGCTGCAGAGATCCGGAGAACCTGGTGCCTAGGCAGAGCAGGGGGGCCCTGAGCACTTGAGGCACCCCAACCCTTCCCAGCCTAGGCCCCTAGAGTCACGGGGGTCCGAGCAACGGGAGATCTGAACGTCCTCATATCTTCTCTCCCTGTCTTCGGGAGCGTCTACACTTTTGTGCTGTCCCTGTCACAATTTAGATTGGTTCAGCTCCCAGCCAACCAGACCCCCTCCTCCCCTTTCTCCTTCTAAAAATTCTTTCTCAGAGCCCAACTCTCTCAGGGCCCAGAAGAGGCTGGGCCCTTCCAAGCCATGCCCTCCCCACCAGGCTGTCCTAGGGTGGTGTCCGTCTGTCTTCTCTCGCTGTGTTTCCGTGTGTCTGTCTGTCCCTTCCAGACACTGACTTGAGGAAAGAGCCCTTTCATCACCCTTTAGGACACCCCCCCTTCCTCTCCACACCCCTACCCCACAAAGTTCTCATTGCCGAAGACTGTCTCCAACAGCACACTCAAAATCAGCAGCCTCCACATGTTGGGAAGGTCGGGCTGAGGCCCAAACTGAGGTCTGAGGCCTTTTAAACACTTACAGGTCCCTGGGAACTGTTTCGAACTCACACCTGGATCCAATCCCACGGGGAGGGGGAGGCGAAAGTTCCGAACCGAGGCACCTTCTCGCCCTTCCAGATAAAGTGGCAGGGAATAAGGCAGGTGGAGAGATAAGCTAGGGTTCCACCCTTGACCATGGCAGTCAGCTGGGCCAGAGGTCTCCCAGCTGGGACCACTGGTCCGGCTTCTCACAGCCCCGAACACCTTACTGTTAGAGTTGCTACGTCAGAAGCAAGAGCAGACATAGTTGTGTTTTTCCAGTCTTAGGATTTACTGGACAACAATAAATGCATGAGTCGCATGGATTTCAGTGGCTTCAATCCCCCAACTGTGGCTCTCACTCGATGTTCACGGTCATTGACAAATACAGGTTCTTCCTGATTGCCCATATTAGCTCTGTGATCACGCTTCGAGTTCCAACACGATACCGGAGAGATTTCCCCCCCCCCAAAGAGTTAAAGTGGCTTCTGGGTTCAGAGGGACCTTAGTAAAGGCAGGATGGGGTGCAGATGTGGATATAGCTAACCCTGTTACAGAGCTGTTCAGACACCCGGCTGCCAAGCGCTAAGCTGGATCAAGGTCCCGAGCTGGCTCCAACTTGAGTTTGGATGATGGAATGGTGATTGGCCTTGGCAAGCGGGGAGATCATGCTGACCAGAAACCCAGGAAGAGACTAGATAGTTTTCTTTCTGCCCATACCTAACCCCACCTGGTATTTGGTGTACCAGGTGAAGGGGCTGTGTTGCTCACCTTTGTTTGATAAGCTCCCAGACCTGTTGGGGGGTTTTCTGTTTGGTTTTCGATAGCTTTGAAATGCCCATGAGGCCAAATGGGCCAAATGTTCCCAGTTTCAGTTGGTAAGTTCCTAGGTGCCGATATTTTGTGTGAAGTTATTTTTCAGTCTGTGTCCGGTGGCTTGTGACAGACAGGTGATGGTTGCTTATGGACAGGAATAAGATGCAGAACCATTCTGCCTCAGCACCTGCACTCATAAGGGGGCATCTTGCTGGGTTCCGTTTGGCCATGTTTGTGCAAATCTATTTTATTCTCATTCCTCACTCAAAAGTCGCAGCTCAGGTGAACCTAGTTCCAGGGAGTGCCAACAAACTCCTTTTTTTTTTTCCATTCAAGCTTTAAGGTGCTTTCCCACTACATGTGTGTGTGTGGGGGGGGAGATATTACAGAAGATAACAAAATGGGACGGGAGGGGTCCCGTGGAGTAGATAGTCATGTGATCTCTGTGGACCCTGCAACTGTGACAAGTTAGAACGCCAGGACACTTGGATTTCTTTTTTACTTTAAGATTGGAAACATGTCTATGAAGAGTGAAGAGAGCTTCGTCAGGTGTCTGGGGCAGTCAGACGCCTCTGAGGGTACCGGGCTGGTAACGTGGAGGACAGGGCAGTATAGGCTGAGGCAGCCGCATCTCGCTCTGGCTTTGGTGTTGACAAAGTCACCAGGATTGAGCTCTTACGGGAGTTTGGGATAACGAAGTCCTATCCACGCCCTCCTTCCGTTTTGCTTTATGACTGCTTGGTGAAGCCCACCTTTTATTTTGGGGGCAGTCGGGAGTAAAGGCCCTCTGAAGAGAGACATTCCAATATCAAGGGTCTTTCGGGACTGTCATGTCAAAGCCCAGATTTTTGCCTGTGACAAAGAAGTAGGCAGAGATTCATTCCCATGAAAAGTTGGGGGACAGAGTGATTCTGTTGAGTCTAAGGGAGGTCAGGGACTCTTGTCCCCAGCAACAGACACTCAAAGAAAGCAGACCTAATGTGTTTCCTCGTGAAGGACATGAACGTCAACACCGCATCCGGCTTTCCTGTTTTCTGTAGTGTATTTCCCTTTTGCATCCCAAGTGCGGTTTTATGGACATTTCCCCTGTGGTCTCCCATCTGCTTCAGGAAGCTGAAGGATTGAAGGAGATGGGATGGGGCTGGGAAAGGGACGAGAACCACAGAGCTTAGCTATGCTCAGAAGGGCAGGAGGACAATTACACCCCAGGGCAAGAGGTGAACAAGAATGGCTACGTCATTGTTTCTACGGGTTGTGGCTCATACTAAATGGAAGGCTAAGTAGGTTGCCCACTATTAGTCTGCCTCTTGCTGAAGAGGGGTAGGAGGGCAAGGCAAAAGGAGGCTGGCAGTGTGGCACTAACCAGGGGCCCATGGGAAACCGGGAGAGTTGGTGGCACCACCCCAACCCTTGTTCCAACATGCCTGGGACATGCTGGGAGCAGAAGTGATGACAGATGAAACTCTTCTGGGCAAATGGGGGAGCGGGGCACTGAAGGACAAATTTGGACAGCTGTCTGCCTTTCTGGTTCTCAGGCTCAGAGTATTTGGGACAATCTTTGGCTAATGGTAACACGTTCCATGGCTCCATGTGGTCTGGCCTGCCTATGGCTGGCCTCCCTTCGTGTTTTTCCTGATGGCCCCTCCATCTGGGGAGCACTTGGAGGCCTGGTGTCCCTTGGACTCTCTTGCAGCCTGCACACTCTGATGGGCCCAGTCTTCTTACTTTTCTAAAGGAGTATTTAAATCTTAGGTAGTTTTTTTTTTTTTTTTGCTGTAGTCATCTGTGTGTGTGTGTGTGTGTGTGTGTGTGTGTGTTTCTGTCTCTCCTTGGAATGGTCAGAGGGGAGAGGAGGATGCTGGGAATGGAAACAGCACCTGGCAGAGATCTTGAATAGGGGGCTTTGGCCCTTCACCCTGGGCCTCTGCCTCTGGCCGGCCTCACACAAGCCTCTCACATTCCAAACTGGCGGGTTGGTTTGTTTTCTTAAGAAAGCAATAACTGTGCACATTCACTGTGGTTCTTATGGTTTTCCATATGTATAATCACTCTTTCTCCTTCAGTTTTTCCAATTTTTTTACACTTTCAAATAAATGCTCATAAATTTTATGGGTGAAAGGGATAAAAAAACATAAAGACGAACAGCTTGTTGGAAAAAGGAAGAAGGGGGGAAGATGTAGAAAAACTAGGGTTCTGTTCAGCTTTACATGTTCAAGAAACAGGAGGGGATTGTTACAGGTTTACGAAAAAGAAATCTTAAAATACTTTTTCTAGCAACAGAGCATCTGCGACTTAAGCCCTTGGTCAATGCACTTAAACCAACCCTGGCCATTGCCTCCCTGAGCTTGCTGGGACCTGGTGGTGGCCCCTCAGTCCTAGACAAAGCAGCTGAGACTATACCATCTCCTGGAGTCAGTGGTCTCTCGGCCACCAGGCCACGTGAGCCTTGTGCAAATCTCAGGATGCAGAAGCCCCAGGCTTTATGACTTCAGGATGAAGGGGGTTGGTTAGAACATCTGGGAATGTCTATGGCCTTTCAGTTAACAGAACAAGAAACTTGCTCTGAGGCCCTTCCCACGCTCCCTTCCCCTGTAGATGCTGTCACAGGCTCCATTGGGTGTCTTTTCAATATCCGTTCTTCCTTCCTCCTTATCAGAGCTCTGCTTTTATTTGAAGCAGCTATGTGACCGGCTGCAGAGCACGTTCCCAGCCTCCCCTGTAGCTGGGTGGTGCCCCATGGCACTGCTCCAAGCCATAAGATAGGAATGTAAGCCTATAGACCAGCTGACGCAGGAACTCACACTTTGACCCCCCCTCTTCTTCCTGCCTGCAATTCAGATCTATGTCAGGGGCAATGGCACCATCTGGGAAACAGAGGTCAACATCCAACCACGCTCCCCATAAAACCACCGACAGTGGTCTTCTCTCACGATGAGACTGGAGATGAAATTTTCCAGTCATCTTTTTCAAGTCTGGAATGTAACACATCACCCTTGCATTTGTGGGGACGTTGGCATAAGCAAACCTGTTATGCTGCCAGCTGTACCAAGATGTAGTACAGACTGTTATATACACCATGTAATACTTGAATAAACCACTGTGTTCCTGGTTTCTATGTGTACCAGCCTATGTTTTTTATACTTGCAGCAGTTTGAATGAGAAATGGCCTCCATAGGCTCATATACTTGAACACGTGATCACCCTGTTGGTAGCAGTTTAGCAGGGTTGTGGGACCTTTGGGAGATGGCGCCTTGCTGGAGGGCCTACATCGCTGGGGGTGGGCTTTAAGAACCCCTCCCCACTTCCGGTTCTCTCTCTCTGGTTTGTGTTGCAGTTGAAGATACAATGGGTTGGCTTCCTGCTCCGGGCCCATTTTGGCCCTGTAAGATGAGTTCTATCACACTGTCACTTACAGCAACACTGACGACCATGGTGAGCTTGAAGAGAACAGACAATCGGTCCTTCCACAACTCTCACGTGTCTTTCATAGGCCTGGTGCTGCCTGGAGCTGAGACAGCAAACATCCCAGAGGCAGCACCTGCCCTCATGGGTCTCAGAGTCCAGCCAAGATGAACACGGAAACAAAATCAGTGAGTTGCTAATGATCATTGCTTCAAAGGAGATAAATGAGACCTTGGAAAGGGCGACTATGGGAGACACCATGTATCCAATGGATAGTCCTAGAGCAGGCTTGAAGGGGATGTCACTCACAGGGGAATGGGAGATCTGGGAAGGAGGACAGCTGAGAGGGACAAAAATAGATCATGTGACCTTGGGGATTTTTTTTTTAAGCATTGTTTGTTGTTGTTCTTTTTGTTTGTTTGTTTTGGTTGGTTGGTTGATGGTTTTTTATTTTGTTTTGTTTTGAGAATCTTGTTGTTCTTTTGTTTGTTTTGGTTGGTTGATGGTTGTTTGTTTTGTTTTGTTTTGAGAATGAGGCCATTGAAGGCCCCATTCGTACAAGCCCAGAGACAGAGGCAAGCTGACCTCTGTAAGTTCGTGATGGAGGAAGTCCTCCTGTATATATGTTTCTCTTATTGGTTGATGAATAAAACACTGTTTGGCCAATAGAGGCAGGGGCATAAGTAGGACTAGTAGACAAGGAGAATTCTGGGAAAGGTAGGTAGAGGGAGACCGCAAGGAGCCGCCATGTAGAGACCAGGAAGATAGGACATGCAAGGTGTTCTCTGGTAAGATAAAGTCATGTAGAAATACACAGATTAGTAGTTATGGGTTAATAATTAACAGAGCTAGCCAGTAAGAAGCCCTAGCCATCAGCCAATAGTTCTATAATTAATATAGCATCGGTATGTTTATTTGGGGCTGAAGGGTGGTGGGACCTGGGGGGACAAGAAACTCCAGTAACAAGTTTGAGACCGATCTGGTCTACACAGTGAGTCCCAGGGAAGCCAGAGTTACATAGTGAGACCCAGTCCCAGAAAACAACAAACAATAAAAGACCAACTCTACCCATCATTCACAGTTTCTATGGGGCTCCTCTTGCCAACCTGGTTGTGACAACAGGGCTCCTGGTGTCTTCTTATGGGAGACTGAGTGCTAGGCAGCGTCAGGTCTGTGGCATGTGAGGGACTGTGGGTCCCGAGGGCCAGTCACACGGTGACCTCACTGCAGCGTGCGCTGTTCTCTCTCAGTCGGAGACTTCTCTTAAAAACTAAGGTCATGAACAGTTCTGCCAAAATAGCTAAGAGGAAGCGATGTGTTGCGTCCCATAATGCACTGGGAACTGTGCTTGGCCCATAGTAGGTTCAAGGAAAGAAATTCAGACCACATTACTGAAAAACCTACCAGCCCAGGCTTCCCCCGCTCCAGGACAGCGCTGCTCTACCCCAGAAATGTGGTTAATTGTGAAGATGAAATCCTAATACTTCAATATGGTTAAGCCTCCACAGACTCTGTTTGAGGTTGCCCACTTGGACGAAGGGTGACATAAGTTTCAGACTTACACAAACCAAGTCCTGTGTGGCCTTGTGTGGCTTTTCAGATGCCCCAAAACAGCTTCCCTTATCTTAAAATGAGCTCATTGAGGAAGGTCTGACAGTTCACAAATGGCTGAGGCAGGAGGATTGCCATGAGTTCAAGGCCAGTCAGGACCACACTGATGAGTTCCAGGCCAGCTTGTACTACCATGTGAGATTCTGCCTCAAAAAATTTTTTTTCATTTAAAAATGAGTTTATTAATACCAGTAATGTACCCTCCCATGAGGATAAATGAAAATATTTGTGTAGAGGGCATAAAAGTTATAACCATGTCCCAGTGTGCAGGGTTAAAGCTCATTTTATTTATCTATAGCTTATATTAACATAGACCATGAGCCTGTATTTCCACCAACAGAAAACTTCAGGTTGGACATTCCAGCTCGATTAAACCATTTCCAGCTTTAAACATAAAAACACCTCAGTTTCTTGTGGAAATTTTAACCAGAATGTTCTGTCCTCTTCTATGGCTGCTTTTCCCCTGAAAATAACCCAGCTTCTTTAGGGTTAAGTGACCTGACTTTCCTCCAACCAATGTGCCATCATGTTACAGGCTGACTTTGTCTCTCCCATGCAGAATTCACACTCACACATATACACACACTGACATACACATACACACATACACACAGATACTCACACATAAATATACACACTCACATATACACACTCACACATACACATACACACATTCACACATATACACACAAACTTTTTTTCTTTTGCTCAGAATTCTGCATGGCTACAGCTCATATATCTGATATCAGCCCAGTTCCCTTAGTTTTACCAATTAGGCATGGTAGTGAATATGGGATTTGCTTAGGTTCAAAACAGTGAATATAGTTTGCTCATCTAAAATCACATCCTTTCATCAAATGTTTCTTTTTGCAGGCCATAGAAAGGGGCTTCTTCCTATATCTCTCTGCATTCATCCTTCTCTGTGTTGCTCAGGAACTGGCTGATGGGCATCCAGAACCCACACACACACGCACACACACACACACACACACACGCACACACACGCACGCACGCACGCACACACACGCACACGCACTCTCACACATAGATATTCTCCCTCACACTCATACACACACACACTCACATTCTCTCAGACACTCACACTGGCTCCCATAGGGCCTGACTTCTGCAACTGAAAAGTCTTGTTCTCAAACTAATGTTTCAACAAGTATTTCAAGCCTTCATTTGATTTCTTGCTTCTAGGATATAACAGCAGGCTCTCTGCTCTCCCATTGTAGGTGCTAGGGGACACACCTCATCGATCTCAAAATGATGGCCCTCCTCACTCTCTCAGAGGAAGTCCTACTCAGTCTAGCCTAGAGTGACCGCTTGATGGTCACAACCCAAGGACTTGTCCAGATTTCAACGTGGGGTGAGTACAACCTTTTGAGGAAGCCCCTTGAATGCCCCCACCCGTCCCCACTCTAAGAGGAAGGCACAGGGGAAAGACATTCTTCTCCCTCCAGGGGACAGGAATTCACCATTGGCAATTTTGTTGTTTAAATCAAGCCTGGTCCCCCTCTGGAGTATATTAAAATGTCAAAAACTGCTGGACAATGTACATTTTGGTTGTTCCCGGGAATGGAGAGCAAAGAGGGGGACTAACAGAGCTCAGGCCTCATGTTTCCCCGAAGACAGCAATGGGGTGGTGGCGGGGCGTCCAGACATGTCAAGCTGTCTGAGGGACGCCTAAGCAGACTCTGTCCCTTCTGGACACTGACAACAAAGAGGTGACTGGGGGGAAAAGGCTGTTCAAACTGTTCAAACTTGCTTCTATTTTCAAAGGGTCCAACAAGGGTGTGGGGAACGGATGCTTAACTTGGGTTACACGAGAAGTCCCAGGCCTTGGGGGGAGGGGTGAACCCCAACTGCTCTGGCCTGAGTGGTGTGGCTAATAGGGGTGATTCAGGGTGTGTTTCATGATGGTCCGAATCGCCATCCATGTCTCCTGGGCTGTGGGAACGATCTGCGAAGCTGGCAATAGGAAGCCGTATTGTCCGGTGTCCCGGAGCTCGAAGCTGAAGGCATACTTGATACCACTGTCATAAGCCCAATCCACCGTGATCCCACTGGCTGCATCTAAAAAGAAAAGGGCCAAAAGGTGCCCGGGAAAGAAGGAGAAGGTATGCCGCAGGCTATAGCGGAACCCTGAGTGGAAAGCGGGCACTGCCGCCGCCTCCTCTGGACCTGATCAAGTCAAACTTCCTGATTCAGACCGCATCCTGGGCCCTACCCCACCCACCCCCAACCAGTGTTCCCCCTTGCAGAAACAGGCCAACAGACTGGGAACCTTTCCCCGCAGGGGACTTCGTAATAAGCCGGATATCAGGATCTGTGCACCAATGCTACAGACAAATAGCTGCCTGGGTATCACCATCCACCCAGCCCAGCTTGGTCGGCGGTACTGCTCAAGCTGTACCTGCCCCGCCCCAGGCAGATATGGCTCACTCACAGAGGGTGGTACTGATGCTGCCAAAAGTGTACTCGATCCCGTGCACCTTATACAGAGCCTTCACTGCATCCTTGGCAAGATTGAACTGCAAATGACAGCCAGAGAGTAAGAGGCAAGGCCTCCCCAACCCCTGCATACAGAGTGTGGGTTTGGGAGCCCTGGGTGTGGACCATGGAGCTAGTGCAATACCTCCAGCTTTGAACTTGACCTCACATGAGAACAACTCTACTGACTCTTCCTAATCTGGGGTCTCCCTATCATTGGTTCAGACCTTTATATTGGGTGTCAAAGTCCGAACCACCTGGGAATGCACCAGGGATGGACTTTCCTAGAGAGAGGCCTTCTGCTTTCCCATACTCTGGACAGCCAGTCTTACCAGTTCCTCATCGTTTGGCACAGGCTCCAGAGTGTGGCCATAAGGGTACATGACCATCTGAGAGTAGCTGTGGATGGAAATCAGTGCTTTGAAGTTCCCGTGGCCTGTGATGAAGTCCACAATTGCAGCTACCTCTGGCTCCGACTGAGGTGCAGGGCCTCGGTAAGTCTCTGAGCAAGGGTTTTTGTTAGAACCATTTCCTGAAAGTAAAAATCAAACCACCCAAAGGGTCAGAAGACCCAGGAGTGGCAAAACAGTGTTCACAACCTTCCTGTCTTGCAAGCTCCTTTTGCAAGTTGGTTGAGGTCATGTGACTGCTTCTGGCCAATGAAAAGGTAAGTAGAAATTATATGTCCGTTCTGTTTTGAGGCTGTTAAGGAAAAAGGTGGCCAGACCTGGTAGCACATACCTTTAATTCCAGCACTTGGGAGACAGAGGCAGACAGAGCTCTGTGAGTTCGAGGGCAGCCTGATCTTCATTGTGAGTCCTGGAAAACAGTCAGGGCTACATAGAGAGACCCCAGGCAGAGGGAGAGAGAGAGAGAGAGAGAGAGAGAGAGAGAGAGAGAGAGAGAGAGAGAGAGAGAGAGAGAGAGAGAGAGAGAGAGAGAGAGAGAGAGAGAGGAGAAGGAGGAGTAGGAAAATGGTGACTCCACATTCTCTTCTGTGTGACTGAAGCAAGACCTTCTGGACAGAAGCAACATGATGGGTCCCTCTGTCACCACTGGAAGAGCAATGCCAATGAGAGTTGCTGCCCACCTGGGACTTTGTGTGTAAGATAAACTTTGGATTAGGTAGTGTTGTTACTGTTGTATTCCTTCACCTTATACATCAGCATGAAGAATGTAGCCACACCATGACTCAGCAACTCTGTGGGTTTGCAGGGAGCACCCACAGCTCAATCTTCCGACTAAGTCCCAAAGGTCCATTGGAGAGGCAGGCCTGCCTGGGAAGGTCACCCTGAAGCAACCCCAGCCCAATTCCAGCCTCCTTTCGTTGGCTCTTTGTGTGGGTTCATGCTAGTCAGGGGCTCAAACTCAGTATCTGCTGAAGATTGGTCCCCAGCCACAGCCACAGAAGCCCCGTGGCCTTGTGGACCAGTGACAGACAAAACAGATCCCCAGTGCTGCTTGAGGCTGACCTGAGAATCACAGAGGAATCACAAGAGAGACTTTTGAGAATTTTTCTCAGGGAACCTACTTGGAGGAGAGGGCAAAGAGTTGAGTATGTGTGTGCGTGCGTGCGTGCCTGTGGAGGTAAGTGGGGTAGAGTACTGTTATTCAGCTACACCCCAGGCCTGTGCTGCCATTTTTTGGCATGCTGAGTTTGTTGCTTCTCTTAGGACTTCCGGTGCCTTGCCCACTCATTTCATTTGTCCAGAGCCATATCATATAGTGCTAGACAGGGCTCGTCAAGATTTGTGTGTCGGCAACTCATGGAGAAGGACAATCCCTACTTCTGTCTCCCCTTCTACCTCCCAGAAAATCACTGCATCCAACGCTCAAGCCCTTCTCAGAAACCAGGGATCTCCTCCAACTTCTGAAGCTTTTAGAAGGTACCAGAACAGCCTTCTTGTCCCCGGGGCCAACAGCAGGCTACTGCAAACTGTCCCTCCCCAGGAGTTCAGGAGAGGGTGGTACAGCGCTCTGAGAGATGGTCTCCAGACAACTAAGACAAGATGAAACCCATAAACAAAGTCCTCCCGCCCTGCCGGAGTCTCTTATTATTCCTGGCCAGAGGCAGCCCAGAGGCTGTTCTATCAACAAAGAGCACATCCGCTGTTGGTTGGGTGGTCCTTGCCTGAGGTTGGGGACCCTGGTTAGAAGGGGGAGAGCGCCCCCCACCCCACCCCCCACCCCCGGGGTTGGCGAGGGCTGGGCTCAGGGCTCAGGGCAGCCCTGTTTGTTTTGTCTGTTGAGCTCCTGCACCTGCTTCACTTGATGAATGACAAATAGCAACAGATGAGCCGAGCAGCAGAGGCTGAAAGCTTTGTCTGTGTTTGCAGCCCACGCAGCTAGAGCGGTTCCCCTGCCAACGGCCAGGTGGCTTTGCCCAAATTTGGAGAAACACTTCAGGCCATTAGTTCTGGTTTGAACTAAGCAGAATAAACTAATCTCTCCTGCCCAAATGGGAATTAGCTGCCTGCCTCTCTGATGTCCACAGTCAAGGTCCTGTGAGCCTGCCTGTCTCAGAAGTATCTGCTAATGGATTCATTAGCTGTTTCTTTTTCCTTCTCTAAAAATGTAATTTGTAGCAGGGGGAAATCACTGAAAGTACATGGTGAATTATTAAAGCACTAATCTTTGGGTACTGAGATTATGGGAGCTTTTCCATCCCTTTGGGCTCCCCTCACCCCCATAACAGTTTTACATTGCCTATCTCTACAGATTTTTATTTTATTTGTTTACAGAGAGGCCCAAAAATGTTACTTTCTTTAGGGCAGCATTTATCTACCTCTAAACTGAGCTGCCTCTGTATTTGTGAGTACTGTCAGGTCTTAGAGCCTTGGCTGCCCGCCTAGGTTAACCCTGGTCAATCTGGAGGCAGACAAGTCTCATTCCCCCTTGCCACAGTGGTCACACGTGGCCCTGATCTTCAGGTTCCCAGCATCGTGTGACCTGCGGGCTTTGCTCTCCATCCTTTAAAATGTCCTTAGTTTTCACTATTAACAAACTCAAAAGAAGCCAGACTTGAAGAGCCACACACACCTAGATCTAGAATATTCTGTCATTAGCTTGGTCACCAATTTATGGATCTGCTTGTTAACAGCAGTGACTCGGTCTCCCTTGAGGAGCCACCCCTTGTCTCCACTGTGGAGTACAGACACTGCATCTGGAGCTGAGGGCTGTGTGTACCCTGTGGATTAGCCTGGTTGGTCCTAGAATCCCACCAACCCAGTTGCTGCTCGGCTGGGATCCTGGTAATCCCTCTGAACATCCTTGAAGACTTAGTTTTGCTATCTAGTCTCATGTGAGAGAGTAACAACCAGAAAAGATCATCAAAGAACTCAAGAGAAAGCTGCCAAGCCAGCAGCCATGGTAGTGTATAACTCTGCCAGAATGAACTAGCTTCCTGTGGAGCCTTTCTCTGCCATGTTGAGGATTTGATACTTGCAATGTGTCTTCACTTCAATAGCTAAGGGTTCCTTTAAAGGCTTAGCATATGGATCCATGCATCACATGTGTGATCTCGCCTACACGGCATGGTAAATCTTAGCTCACCTGACCCTGGCCATGATGCACATATATTAGCCAATGATGTTGTCCATACCTCCCAGCTTATGAGTCAACCCACTCTGAAGGTATGAGAGAACCTAATGTAGCCTCCTCAAGTCCTGTCCTGGATGGAACAAACTGCCATACCTCCAAAGCCAGTCTTCCAATTCCTGTTGAGGTCCACGCCAATGCAGGAAATGCCGGGTTGACTTGACTTGTTTTTTCGCCACAAGCGATTCTGAGAAAGCCCAGGGCATACAGCCTCGTTAATTGGGCCCACTCTGAGGGATGGGATAGCTGACATCCTGGCCCATGAAAGGAGAGAGGGTCTATTGGGGCAGGACAGACGGAGCCAAGGGAAGGAGCCCCCAGGGACAGGATGGGCTGGCATGGTGCTGGGCCAGGCTGTGTACAGATTGGGTCTTCTGTGGTTCACATGAGAGTTTAGGAGAAATCTCATCATACCCTGCCAATGGAAGCTTCCTTAGCCAGTGGGCAGGTTGCTGGGAAAGATGGCTTTAATCCCAGAGCGTTAACACCCCAGCTGCCCTCTTTTTTCTGGGAAGGTTCTCTGTAGAAAGCCTCTGAAGAAGCCAGCTCCAGAGGCCACTATGGCATTTCCCTGCCCCAACACACACACCTCTATTGGGGACCCCCAGATGTCCTTACCATGCTGTGAGTGAAAGCAAAGCCATCGGGGTTGGTGACAATCTCAATGAAAATGTCCATTGCATTCAATATTTTCTTCAAGAGATGATCTTTGCCATATGCACTGACAATCTGCAAGAGAGGGAGACAGTAGGAGACCCTTTTGCAGCTACTCCTCAGAGGTACGGCAGGACTCTCACACAGGAAGAGGTGGCATTGCGTCGTCAAATATATCCCACACGTATCCAAAAGGTTTAGTTTTAAACTACTAGAAACCAGAGAATAGCCGAACGCCCCGAGCATATAAGGCCAGAGCATATGATATGTTCTAAAGGGCAGGAGAGGACTGAGAACCCTGAATTTAAAGACACTGAGTCAAATCCCCCTTGATGCTATTCTCCCGTTGCCAGTCCCCAGCTGACCTTCTTCGAGATCCAGATGCCAGTGGCATGGGTGATCCACTCTCGGGAATGGATCCCAGTGTCGATCCAGACAGCCTGGCGATTTGAGCCTCCAGTGCTGAACTGCAGAAAAGAATCAGACCACAGAGGTTTGACAGAGACAGCCATGGTGCCTTCCCTCGAGATGCATCCTCACTGTCTGGAATGAGTCAGTACGCCACAGCACTCAACCTGAGACCAGCAGGGCATGCTGGCACACACACACACACACACACACACACACACACACACACACACCACACGACCAGCAGGGCATGCTGGCACACACATACACACACCACACACACACACACACACACACCACACACACACACACACACACCACACACACACACACACCACACACACACACACACACCACACACACACACACACACACACCACACACCACACACACCTGTGGAGTAGGAACACATGTCTTTGCCTTACATGCCTTGGATGGCAAAGCCACCCAACCTGAAACACAAAATTTCCCAAGACTGAAAGCACCTTAAGACTTGTACCCCTCAGACTTTAATGGGCACATGATGGGAGATGTCATTCTGTAAATATGTTTCTCATACTGGTTAATGAATAAAGCACTGTTGGCCAATAGGAAAGCAAGATAGGCGGGACTAGGAGACAAGGAGGAAAGAGGAAGTAGGAGTCAACATGGAGAATCTGGAGAGAGCAGGTCGCCAGCCGGCTCTCCGGTAAGATGAGAGCACGTGGAAATACGTAGATTAACAGAAATGGGTTAATACTTAAGACAGAGCTAGCCAATAAGAAACTAGTACCTGGCCAACAGCATTATATCTAACACAGAGTCTCTGTATTATTTGGGGCTGGCGCAGTGGTGGGACAAGACCAGTGGCGGGCAGAAAAACCTACTCCTTACAGGCACATGTTCTCCTGGAAATCTTAACTAATAGGTACATTATGGTGTAGTGGGTCTAGGGAGGGCTATAAAGTTTGCATTTCTAATAGATGTGCTTTGAGGTGCTGAGGGGACAGATGATCAAAGTCACACTCGGAGGAGCAATGTCCTTTTAGAGAGAGACTTGGCAATGCCTAGAGTCAGATCAAAGCAGATGCAACTCAAGGCAAAGTTAGGCAAGGTCATGTGACTTTCAAGAGTCCCCACCAGAGCCCCGTGAGCACCTTGGTGCCTAGCCTCCTTGACATATGAGCCCCACATATGGTTCACAGGCTGGAACACAGGCTATGGGCTGCCCACCCGGCTTCCATCATGACCAAGGGCACTACAGTTTGCTCAAGCTGTATTCAGGGGCCCCTGTGAAGTACTGGAAGGTTTCCCCATCTGTAGGGCTGCTTAAGCCAGAGGACCTGGGTCATTATCAAATGAACCCTGTGTACACCCCAGGTCTCAGCTAGCAGCTGAAGCAACTGGAAGGACACTCACTGACTCACACACACACACACACACCCAGAGCTGAGGTGACAATGGCCACGCCACAGCCCTGTCTCTTTAGCAACCTTCCTTCCCCCCAGGCCACTGCACTGCCGCCTCTCCACACCCACCGAGGTAGGTAGTTCCTCATTACACAAAGCTCATGGATCTGTAGTACAATATACACCTGTCTCGCCCATCCAGAGACTCCCGCCCAGCCGCTTATTCGTGAGCCCACTCTTAGGACAAAGATGCTCACTATTTGGTCTACTGTCTGATGCAGTAGGCTCTTACCTTCAGGACAAGAATAGACCGGTTTTCAAAGCTGTTGCCAATGGGAACTTTGGAGACAAGATTAGAATGTTCAGCTACAAAGTTGTCAATCCAACTATATATCTGAAAGCAATGAAGTCTATCAGACTGGCAGTTAAATGGGGAGGGGGTGAGTTCCAAGCGCATTGATGAATATTGTCCATCCATTCCACCTTCTTTATTGCTTTCCTACTTCTCCTGGGAGCTTAAAAGAACACAGATAGATAGCCATGCGGTGGTGGCACTGGCCTTTAATCCCAGCACTCAGGAGGCAGAGGCAGGCGGATCTCTGTGAGTTCAAGGACAGCCTGGTCTACAGAGTGAGTTCTAGGACAGCTTCCAAAGCCACAGAGAAACCCTGTCTTGTAAACCAAACCAAAATAAATAAAAAAATAAACAAACAAACAAATAAACAAATAAAAAGAATGCAGATCAAGGATTCCAAACCCTGAAGATAACCTCAGAGCTAAGGACATTGAGTTGTGGCTAGAACGCCAGGCTCCCCATGTGCATGCAGAGCCACACTTTCTCCTGAGAGAACAGCATACATTGAGTCCATTCAGACCCTAGGCATGAGCTGCCTGGGGAGCATGTCTGTAATCCTAACCCTGGAGAGGCAGAGGCAAGAGGATCAGCAATTCACGCCAGCCTGGGTTATGGAGGAAGACCCTATCTACAAAAATAAGAATAATAACAAAAATAAATTCCTGGGTGTAGGTGCGGCCTGCATGGCTCTCTCTGTGGAAAATGCACTCTCTTGCCTTCACCCTGTGGTCTGTTTCCCCACCTGACAAAGCTGTAAACTGAGGAGTGCTGTTGTGTGGCTTTTTCACTCCTGTACTCAGCAGCTTGGAGGGAAGGGTAGAATTTCATTTACTGTTGACATCAGTAGCAGTGACAGTCTTCCAGTACAAATCAGTGAATACACATAGAAACAAAATGGATTCCCTGTTTCAGGTCTTACGAAATGAGAAGAGTGATGGAGGGGACAGTGCCAGTAATGTCATGTCCTTTACAGGCAAATGAGACCTATGCTTTGAGCTTCTCTCTGGTGCGGAAGTGCCCATTGCTAAAATCTGCCCTCACGGGCTGTCACTACGATCACACTTTGTTCTCTGAGCACAAGCGACTGCTTGTTTCTACAAGCATGGCTTCCCAGTATGTCTGGGTTGCTGCCCAGACCACAGAACACCAAAACTGGTCACAAGGTCGTCAGCGAATCACTAGTCAGGGGAAGGGGTATCCTGTCACAGGTCCACCCCTTAGTGTGCCAACTAAAGAACCATTCCCTAGGCTCTGAGCCTGCCTGGATGGACGTCCTTGCTATCTGACTCTGGACCCTTTACCTAATTAATGTATTGTCTCTGTGCCCCTCATATTTACAGTCACAGATAGTCTCAGACCTCCTCCTCTGGGCTCTGCCTGATCCTGGAGGCCCCAGGGGGTTCAGGAGCGTTCGAGTCTGGAGCTGGCCCAGGTGGACCTACCTCCTCCAGAGTATGATAAGAGGAGTAGCTGAAGCTACTGGTGCTGCGTTCCAGCCGGCGGGACCTCGCCATGGCATCTCTCTCTTCATCCAGCAGCACCTGGCAGATAAGGAAGACACACTGGAAAGGCAGAAGAGGGATGGAGCCCGCAGCATCGACATGGGAATGAAGAAGCACCACGCCGTGCGCCACGCAACAGGAGGGTGTGTGGTTGAAGAGTAAAAGCCTCCATGCATTGGCGTCCATGCTATCTTTGCCCAAAGGAGCACAGGACCGGTCAGTCTGGAGAGAGTCCAAGTGTCTGTGCTCCCGACTTCCTGTGGTACTTGCTCTAGCCTCAGTTTCCTCAGCTTAAGAACAACAACAACAACAAAAATAAAATAAATCAAAAAAGAACTACAGCAACGTCTGGGCTGTGCTGCCTCACAGGATAAAAGGTAGTAATGGGGATGAAGGTGTATTAAGAAAGATGCTCATAGGTTCCTGCCAGTGTTGCTTTTGTACTCTGTAACACTGCACCACGGACACTGACCACCCTGGGGAGCAGATGACGGCCCTGACTTCTGACATCGACTCTTCTTCCAGGAAATAGTCTAGACAACTGGTATCCAAGCCATTCAGAAAGCCAGCCATGGACAAAGCCAGCCCAAAGTATGATGAATGTGTCGATATTCTCGCTCACCATGTTAACTGCCTGCCAGACACAGCACACATGGGCCAGAAGCAATGTCTTGGAGGGCCAGTTTGCTGTTGGCATTCAACTTTCATGTAATGCTTGCCACGGAACGGAAGAGCGGAGGGCAGTCAAGGACCCAGGCTGACTATTGACGGCTGAGACTACCCACTGCTGAAATCATGGCTGGGACACTGTCCCCAGTTTAGGTGAAAGTGTGATGTAAGGCACCCCGCCCCAGGACTAGCATTCCTTGTTCATTGTGGAAAGTGCCCAAGGCCTTCTGCCTGGAGACATCAGCCAGCATCCTCACCGACCCAGAGGGACCCCCTTAAGCTCTGGGTCACAGTTTGGTTTGGCCATTGCCTTATTTGGTGAGCGATGCCTTTTGGCCTATGAAGTATCTTCATCCTCTGTTCTCTCCCTCCCTTGATCTAGTCAGATGACCAGATTCCAGAGAAGGAATTAACTCAGGGTCGGGGTGTTTTAGAGATAAGACAGATTGGAGAGGTGACAGCTCTTCAATGCAAAGCTAAGAAGTGGCAGAGAAGGGATGAAAACCAGATCTTCTAGTCCCCAGCATCGGATTCCTCAAGCCGAGCTATCAAAAACTAGACTAACCATAACAACATATACGCACAGATATGCATATTTGTGTGTATATAAATAAATATAGATAAAGAGAGGAAACAGAAGTATGCAAAATGTTAACAGCTGAAAACTCCATCGTATTATCCTTGCAATTAAAAAGTTTTTTTTTTTCCCTAAGTAATGAAAAACCAAGTACCCTCAAGCACAGGAAAATAAGGCATTAAAATTCCAAAAATAAATATAACAAAATGCTAATGGTGCCTGTTCAAATAAGATTAGAATTTTGAACGTTTTCCCCCACACTCTCTTTTTACATTTTGGCAACAGGCTTACACTACTTCAGTGAGCAAGGAGTTTTAAGTGAGTAAATAATGCCAGAACCAAATCATGTGTAGTGCCAGCTGAAATGTCTTCAGTCCCCAGGGCTGGGGCAGAGAGATAGGGTCCCTACCCTCCACTGTGCACGGGTTTACTGGCCCCGTGGTTCATTCTTCCCCAAGGGCTCACAACCTCACATCCATAGATTATGGATTCTAAAATGGGACTGGAAATCAATGTCCGGGGCTCCTATGACTTACTGTCTCAGCACCAACTACATGTTCAGTAATTATAATTGCCATGTTTCTAGCTAGGCTGGCCCAGCTCAGGGCTTCCCATTTGAGCAAGCTTGGAATGACTACATAAGTCAGACATGGCTGGAGGAGACCTTGTCCTTGTGGGCCACTCACTAACACCACCCTGGGAAAGCTCTCACAGAAGGAATGTGTCTTCCTCCCAGGAAATCCACCCAAGTCACAGCAGCCCACCATGACCAATGTCATGAGGGCTGCTGCACCAGCTGTCGTGAACAGCTGCGAGAAGGCTGACAACTGGGTCCAGGCAGGCCTGGTCCTTCTCCAGGTCGGGAGCTCTAATGTTGTGAGTGTAGTAGGGCCTGAGTTGAGAATGCATGGTGGGAACTTGGGAAGAAAGCCCTAGACAGTCTAGTTCTTCCAACATGGCTGCGCCACCCGCAGGAAACAGCTTTGAGGAGTCCAGTTTGGTTCCACAAATCAGGTCGGAGGCAAATGGGAGGCTGACACCAAACTGCAAATGGATAGGACACCCTCCCAGCCCCATGAATGGATAGGACACCCTCCCAGGAGCTGGGAACCCTCAGCCCTTACAGCTGGACCTCAATTCCAGGAACATTAATCTACCCTGGCCTGAAAACTGCACAAACATTTGCTCCCTTGGGGGGGGGGCTGGGGGGATGTTGGAGGGGTTGGGGTGAGGCTGACAGCTGAGACGGAGGCTGTGTGTGGATTCAGGGTGTCGAACAACCCTGTCAGGCTCCTCAGGGGGAAAAAACTAGAATGAGAAACTCAGAAGCCAGCCATTTGCCCTCCCTGAAGCCTGGCAGGGACAGTAAGACCTGAATCTAAATTCACTCATTCCAGAGATAAGGAAGGGCCTTAAGTAAGGGAGGGAGAGAAGCAGCCCCAGGACCCCAAAGGCAGAGCTGAGGCCTGAAGATGCCAGTCTCCATGCAGCCTGCTCCAACCACAGACCTCCATAGACACAGCTCGCCATGGCGGTGGCGGAGGTGGCCGTGGGGAGCTTTGTGCTTCCAGCAGGCAGTTCCCTTGATTCTCTCTGGCTCTCTTCTCTAGGCCTAAGGTGTGCTAGGTTAGCATCACATGTGGGAAGAGCCCCTCCACAGCTAAGGCTGTACCCTCGGGCAGTAAAACCCAAGTTAAAACACTACCACAAGCAACCATCTTGACTGATTGCCGAGGTGACAGATGGTGTGAAACACAGGGTGGTCCCCTAGTCAGGCTGTCTCAGATGAGACACTAATACTGTCACTAACTTGGGCTCTGCCTCAGGTTCCCCTCGCACAATGAGGGTTGCTGTTGTTGTTTTTCAAAATATAAAAATTTATTGCTGTTTCCACCGTCAAAATTTAGGGTCTTGCTCTCTCCTTACCTTTGTACAGGGCCAAAAGGGACACATTGGCTACCTCAACAACCTTAAAGAAGACTCCAAGAATAATGCCTACAGCATGACCTTTCAACCAAACCCAGCAACCAGAACTCCATCGTTTTCCTCAATGAAGTTCAGGCAGCCATCATTGGGCACGAAAGCTGTGTTTCCGTTCTTGATGAGCTGCACCCGACTCACTTCCGGATAGCAGAGTTTGGCTGTTTGGCTCCAACCCCTCTTTCTCCAGTACATTTCCCTTTGCATGAGAGGCACCTCCAAAAGAAAGGACTGGCCTTCAGGGCTGTCCCCAAGCAGGCTTTCTTGTATTGTTTATCAAATGCCACTTCTGGCATGCAGAGCTTCCTGGCAGTATGGAGCCCATGACTCTTGCCCATCTTGCTGGTGACACAGGCCAGAGAGAAAAAGCAAGGGTTGTTCTATCATACATTTTAGCACATACTTTAAAGGGCTGTCAGCCAGCCTGGGGTGGTGCACACCTTTAACCCCAGCACTCCGGGAGGCAGAGGCAGGCAGATGTCTGTGGGTTCGAGACCAGCCTAGTCTACTAAAGCTAGTTCTAGGACAGGCTTCCAAAGCTACACAGAGAAATCCTGTCTCAGAAAACCAAAACAGGAGGTGGGGGTGTGGGGGGCAGGGGTCTGTCAGAAGGCTCAGCCGGGCACAGGGAGGGGCTGGGGAAGTAGGAAAGGGGACAGGGACAGTTTAAAGAGGGATGCAAGCAAACTTGGGGGCAATGTTTTGAAAGCAGTGAGCAAATAAGCCATGCAGGTACCAGGGATGACACTAGCAGGTACAAAGAAAGGCCTTGAGAGGTAAATATAGCCAAGGGCCCTGAGGCAGGGACTTATCAGGCAAGGTCTAGAAACTTCAAAGAAGACAGCTGGCACAGAGCACTAGACAGCAAGGATGGCGTGGGGCAGTGGGTGGCTCACTGGGAGCCTTGGCCTTTTCAAGAACTTGGCGTTGGCATTTGAGTTGGAAAGAAGCCCCTTGAGAGCTTCCCTGCCTGTACCTGCCTGTATTCCTTTTTTTTTTTTTTTTTTTTTTTTTTTTTTGAGACAGGGTTTCTCTCTCTGTTGCTTTGGAGCCTGTCCTGGAGCTTGCTTTGTAGACCAGGCTGGCCTCGAACTCACACAGAGCCACCTGCCTCTGCCTCCTGATACTTACTTACTTATTTAAGACACAGTCTTACTACATGGCCAGCATGGAACTTTATACCCTCTTAGCTCCATCCCCAGAGAGATGGCTGCCCAGGCCCAACTGGGGAGTGTCAAGTGGGGGATGAACATAATTGGATTTATATATTTTGTAAATGGCTCGCCTGGCTGCTGCCTTGAAAATGAATCTTAGGGAAGCAAGGATAAATTTGGGAGAACAGTTAGACAGTTCCTGGAACACCAATGGTCCTAATTCTCACGGAGGCCGAGGCAGAAGGATCCTGAGTTTTACTGACACCCTTTGTGAGACACTTCTGGAACGGTGTCCCAGCGATAGTTATGTTGACCTGAAGTGGTAGTTTGGGATGATTCATAAGTGTGTGAAGGAAGAACCTGCAGCATCTTTGGGTAGGCTGGGTAGGGGTTCTGAGAAGAGAGTCCATGACTCTCAGGAGACCCCTGAGCTTCCAGAGGCTGCGGAGGAGCAGATGGGGACTTGAGATGTTCCCACTGTACCTGTAGAGCTTGCAAGGACCCTCAGCCATGTGGCCTCTAGTTGGAGACATAAGGGGGTCATGAGGAGGTGAGAGGGATTTGGCTCTGTCACCCTGGACAAGGCATGGAGAATAGTTGCCGTGTCCCTGCAAACAAACAGGAACACGGTGGGCAACCAGCTCAGAGTCCTAGGAGGCCAGAGAGGAGGCACAGCCTAGCTGCATCAGGAAAGGATGTACAGCGGCAGCAGGAATGGGCTGGGTGACCCCCGTGCCTCTGTTCAGGACCCTTGTGTGAAGTGAGGAGCGGAGAGCAGAACAAATAAAAAGTCAGTGTTTCGAGTTTTGTTCTAGAAGGAATCGAAAAACCGGGTGGTAGCTTGGGGGGGGAGATGGATCAGGAGGACATCCCCCCCACCCCACCCCAGCTCAATAGCTGCCGATTTGTATGCTGATGTGGGCAAGCCCACAGAGAGGGGAAGCTGTGTTTATACTAAACGGTTATTTCTCTCCGGATGGTCAGAGCATGGGTGATTTTTGTTTTCTTCTTGTGCTTTTCCCCTGTTTTCCAAATTATCTAACATGAATATTTATTAATTTTGTAATCAGAAAAAGCCATTAAAATCCGAAGCTCTGATTGCTCAAGTGAAGCCTGTTGGTGGTGACTCATCCCAGTGAGAGAGAAAAAAAACCCTGAAGGACTGAAAAGAACGAAGAGGTGAGGGAAAATTAAATGCAAATCAAGCGCCCTCAGAATCAGATAATTTCTTCCCTGTAATTTCCCCACCGACTCCTGCCTGTCAGTCTCCCGGGCCCTGTCCCCCAGCTCCACATGGCCTGGGTAAGAGGAGCTTTTCTGAGATGCAAATCTGGTGGTGTAAAAGACCCTCCTAAGTCTCCCCTTCTATCCACGGTTTGGGGGATAACCCCTCCCACTTCGCAGGGCAGAAGAAGCCCTTTCCGTGGAGTCCGGGCCCCATCATCAAATCAGGATGGGGGGCCTCCTTCCCCTGCAGCCCCCCTTCGGAGCTCCTCAGCCACACACGCACGCGGGTAATTACTGCTTCCCAGCGCCAGTGACGTGCAATGCCTCTGGTATTCGCTGCTCCCATAGCAACCTGTGCACACTCCATCAGGGCACTCAGCCACGCCACTGTAACCACCCACTTACTCCCCTCCCCCACCCGCCCCCCACTCTCTCCAGCTCCCCTGGATACAGCCCTGTGTTTTTAGTCCCTGTGTTTCCAAGCGCCTTGCCCAACACTCAGCACACAGTAGGTGTGTGTGTGTGTGTGTGTGTGTGTGTGTGCGCGCGCGCGCGCGCGCGCCCCCCAAACTGCCAAACACACGTCCTTTTTCTTTGCCTTCTCATAGGTATTGATTCAGCTAGCACTTATTAAGGCCTTACCAAGGCCAGGGTGCACAGGTCGATAAGAGAAACATGGCCGAATGTGGGGGAGACCAACATAGGAATAAGGATAACCCCCTCACGCCAGTCCTAGACGCCCCCCCCCCACGTCACTCAAGCTACCATATTGAATGAAGCTCACTCTGCTAGGACCAGAGCTGAGCCTGTGTGTCAGTGAGTATCTCAAGTAAGCTTGCTCCATATCAACCTGAGTGTACAAATCTCTTCTAGTCCTGTCAGGACTTCTGAGCCTCTGGCCTGCACCCCTCCCCCACTGTCACCACAAATCAACCAGGGACAACAGCCTCTCCCCACCCCTGGCGCCCTCAAAGCCATAGAGTGACCTCAAGGATGACAGTCTGAGCTTGAGGCTTCGCAGACTGGAGGTTGGAAATTGTGATTGCAGAGGTCAGAGAGAGAGAGAGTTCAGGACATACCCCCCCCCCCCGAAGGGGTCCCACGGGAGTTCAGGCTTGGGGACTTCAGGAGAGGATATCTCTAGGCGGGCTGATGAGAGGAGCTCAGGGGTGACCCAGGAGCTGTCCCTGACATGCGGAAATCAACAAAGTTTTTTGAGGCTCCTGAGTGTCTGTTTGCCAAATGCGGCTAGGTTCCCAGGGCTGGCGTAGCAGAAGCAGAGAAATGGGAACTTCAAAATAGAGGCATGGGCTAAAAATGAGAACACAGTCCTGTCCTTTTGATGTGGTGGCCTCTTTTGTCTGTGTGAGTTTCCCCATTTTTGTTTGTGGGGGATTTAATTAGAGAAGCATCCCACCCCCACATGTTGAGCGGGAAACAGATGTGTCTGATGAGGGATAAAGGACTTTGAATGGACCCAGCACCCCAGCCCTGTGCTGGCCTGGGAAAGGAATGTTGTCTAATGCGTTGATCCCTTGGCATGCGGTGTCAAGTGTGTGCACGCTGGGAGGCTCCGTGTTCCCACACTCTAAGCCCTTAGAGGAGATTAGTGCTGAACAGTATGGTTAGGAATGAATCTCTGTGGATACAATTCTGCAGGTACATAGGCAACAACAAAATCCGCACAAGGATAATGCAGCCTGCCTGGGAGGCTCAACATCCCAGTGGTACCCAAGGGAAGACCTCCCCATATGTGCAGACAGTACACAAGGGCCAGAAGCCAGTGTCCTTCTCGATCTCTCTCCACCTTATTTTTTGAGTAAGGTTTCTCACTGAACTTCTTGTGCTCTGATTCAGCTAGCAAAGCCTCCCAGGATCCTCCTGTCTGCCTCTACTTCCCCAGCACGGGGACTACAGGCAGCCTCTGTGCTCCATGTGGGTGCTGGAGTGACAAGCACATCACCAACTGAGCCGCCTCCCCAGACCTGCCCTTGAACATAGGGCAAATGGAACCGATCTTCATGGTGCTTAGAGAAGACTGTGGGGCCAGGCGGTGGTGGCGCACACCTTTGATCCCAGCACTCAGGAGGCAGAGGCAGGCCGAGCTCTGAGTTCAAGGTCAGCCTGGTTTACAAAAGAGTTCCAGGACGGCCAAGGCTACACAGAGAAACTGTGTCTCAGAGAGAGAGAGAGAGGGAGAGAGAGAGAGAGAGGGAGGGAGGACAGTGGAAGATGTGTAATAAAGTGGTACAGGGAGTTTGAGAGCTTAAGATGCCATTCTCTCCACCTTCACCTGAGTAGGGTCTGCCATATTACCCCACACTACTGGAAGAATCCCTTCTGGGGGAAATGCACAGAGCACATTAGGTACAGGCAAGACGTAGCAGGGTCGCACTGGGCCTCTTTCCTCCATAGGATCCCTCTGGCACCATATGTCTGAGACCTAACAGAGGACAAGAGGAAGCCACTGGAAGGGACTAGGAAGGACCTTAGCTGCTCCCTTCTGTCTCCATTTCCCCTTATACTTTGCTGGTAGCTGCAAAGTCTTCCAGAAGAGGGTACATCCACAGCTGCCATACTGTGAGTTCCCCTTGCCTCCATGAGGGAAGAGATTCTGTCCCAGACTTAAAATTCCTCTTAGAAATGTATGGGTTTTTTTTTTTTTTTAATACTTCATTTAGTTTGTTTTGGTTTTGCATGTGTGCATATGCTTTTTGTTTTGAGATAGCCTATCAGGCACCCTAGGTTGTCCTTGAACTCACTACACAGCTCAGGATAACTTTGAACTTAGGATCCTCCTGCCTTTAACTCCCAAGCACTGGGATTACAGATGTATGTTACTAAACCCAGTTTTATGTCTAGTTCTATGAGCATTGAGCCCAGGGCCTCGGGCATGCTAGGCAAACATTCTGCAGACTGAACTTCACCCAAAGCACAGAAATGTACAACTAAATTTCTTCCATAATATGTTCACAAACATGCAGCTGGATATCCGTAAGCAAGGAGTCTGCACTTGGCCGGAGGGGTTTTTGTTTCCTTTCGGTTTGGTTTGGTTTATTTCTCCACGGTGTGAACCAGCCAAAAGGAATGTGGGAAGTGAGGTCCTCACTATGACCCAGAGTAGGAGCTTACCTGGATGTCCTTTATCATGACGCTGTAAACAAGGCCATGAGACTTCAGATAAGCTTTGACATCATTTAGTTCAGAGAAGGGAACTCTCATGTCCACAGGGAGGCTAGGTCTGGCTGGACCACGCCAGAAGTCCACCTTGTTAACAGGGGGGGCGGGAGGGAGAAAAGAAACAGCTGTGTGTTTATCGCCTGTCCTTATATACCCACCCAGTAGGCATCCTGGGGGGGGGGGCTAGGTTTCTTTTATACTTCAAAGGGAGCCAGCTCTATAAAGGAATCCTAGGGTGTGCAGAGGAACAATTGCCCCCTTTGCCAAGCTCCTTTTGCCTCGCTCGTTCATTGCCGTTTCACCTGGACCCACAGAGCCCTAGAGTTCCGACAAGGGAGGCTGTCATCACCTGGGACATTAGTGTGGACGGGAACCCAGACCAGAGGAAGCAGGCATGACTTCTTCCAGTCCTCTGGGAAGCAGAAGAGGCAAAGCTGGAGCCCACGCCTATGTCTACATAAAAATCTGCAAAATGGGGGCATTGAGTGTGGTAGAATCCCTCGCTGGCAGGGAAACTCCTACAAATAGCAGCCAGAGCCTTGGGCCACGGCCAGGAAAAGCTGGTTGTTTTACAACCCTCAGACAAAAGCCCTCTATTATAATTGTCAAAGAAAATGTTTTCCATTGTGAAAACGTGTAGAGGACAAGTTTCTTGGAAACAGATACCCAGGCTGACAGACACAGACCCAAACATAACACATTTGCCAGGCGAAGCCATTCCAATTGGAAGGCAGATGTGAGCAACCCCTATGCTATGTGGCAAGGCAGCAGGGACATCTGTGCTTTCCTATGGCTTTGGGACACTGCAGCTGTCTTCAGAACATGCTCATCATTCCTCCATCCACGACAGAGGGAACAGCTAAAGGAATCACGGCTTACAAAGGCCAGTCAACGTTATAGTGACATGGCCCTAACGTGTGGCAGAGAAGCCAGCCACCCTGGACTTGTCCCCAATCTAGTGAACATTTTTTTTTTTTTTGGTGGTGGGGGGACGAGGTTAGAAGGGTTTCAAGAAAGGGTTTCTCTGTGGCTTTGGAGGCTGTCCTGGAACTCGCTCTTGTAGACCAGGCTGGTCTCGAACTCACAGAGATCAGCCTGCCTCTGCCTCTGCCTCCCGCGTGCTGGGATTACCAACACTGCCCAGCTCTGGCGAACATTTTTTGAGCCCTCAGGAAGGTTTGGGGTTGGAAAGAGTAGAGGACAAGACAAGGAGCTGAGGTATAGGGTGACAAGTGCTGTGACGGTAGTGTCCCCAGGAGCAATCCTCACCTTCTGGGGCTTCAGGCCCTCCAGGTCCCTGAGAAGTGACAGTTGCTTCTCATCTTTGGCCAGGATTCGAAGAACCTGGTCCCTGGGGAAACATGTTGAGAAATGTGTGGTGAAAATGCCAGGTCAGTGGAAAGTGTTGGTATGGAGGAGAGGGAGACGGGCTTGGAGGAGACCTGGCAGGAACGCCCGGGACACACGTCTACCCTCCCACACAGAGCAAACGGGAGAAAGAGGCGAGAGGGATAGATTCAAAGGGTCTGGAGAACCAATGGTAGGCCCATGTGCTCCCCATGGAGGGGAGATCAGACAAGCGCAGCCCCTCCTGGCAGAGGAGCTCCGCTCCTTTCCTTCCAGGGGGGAGGTCGGTGGACAGTGACGAGCAAGAGTCCCACACGGAGAGCTTCAGGGTCTGAGACGGGAAGGTGCCAGCTCTCTGCCTGCCTGGTTCTGGGACCCAGGAGTGACTCCCTTTCTGCTATGTCTCTTTCTCACTGTACAGTCCATGGGTCAATCTTCGGGACACTGGGAGGCCTGTGGTTAGCGCTTGAGCTTGCCGCTACTGAAGAAGGATAACAGCACATCTACTTTTGATGTGAGTGTATATTCTGATGAGGGTTAACAATTTCTTCCAGGATTTGAGGAAAACTATAACCCTTCAGTCCTAAAGAACATGTATGAAATCTGTTGCATGTGATTTTAAGTTTTTTATTTTTTATTGATGCATATTAATTAATAATGGGTTTGCTATGACCTTTTCATGCCTGATATCCTGCATTTCGATCCTACTCTCTCTTCCCCATCATCCTCTCTTGTTCCCTCTCACTTCTTTTGGATCTTTTTCCTCTTCCCAATGAGTCTCAATTTTAGGGGATCCTTTCAGAACCCTGAAAACTTAACTCTGCGCTTCAGATTTAGAACCCTGGATTTGTAGAGGGATAATAGCATAGTCAAAGCATCTATCTGGCCTGGAGTGGGAATTGGAGAAGAAGGAATCTGAAGGGAGTTCTGGTGAGAGCTGAAACTTTTGTCTGGTCTCACCCAGGAGTACACACAGAAACATATACATGCACATGCACACACTCACAGACACTTACACACACATGCACACACAGACATATACATGCACATGCACACACTCACAGACACTTACACACACATGCACACACAGACATATACATGCACATGCACACACTCACAGACACTTACACACACATGCACACACTCACATACAGAGACACTTACACAAGCACACACACTCACAGACATACAGACACATGCACACACACACAGATATACACAGACACACACTCATACATGCATACACTCACAGACACAGAGACACACAAACTCACACACTCAGACACACACACACACACACACACACACTCTCTCGGAGTGTTTAGGTCCCCTCCCTCCAGCCAGTCTTCCTTCCCACCATGCAGCAGCCACTCACCCTGTGAAATTCATTTGGCCCCAAGCTGCAGCCAGGATAAAGGTGCAGAGCAGAAGTGTCCACCTGTCCATAGAGGACAGCCCAGGGCCTGTTCCTCCTCCTAGGGGGCCTTGCATGCTTCTTTCTCCAGGCAAGCTTCAAGGGCTTTCTTCCAGCTTGGCTATGGCCTAGGCCTCACAACAGCATATCACCTAAAGGCCGGCAGGCCGGGCCTGAGAAGGGACAATCAGCTCTAAGGGGTCTAGGTCTAGCATGTGGTACCCACATGCCAGGCCCTGGGAGAGCCGGGCCAACCCTCCTCCCTCCCTTTCTGGAAGGGGTTGGAAAGAGGGGAAAGGGGGAAGACAAGAGCCTTAGCTTTTCTTTCCTCTGCAGGATGGGGAGGAGATTCCCTCGCGAACCTTCTCGCGAGCATCAAATCCTCCATCTCCAGAAAAGGAGTAGCTAGTGGCTCTAGGCTGTCCCCTCTACACAACTGCTCTTCTACCAAGTCATATGCTCCTTACACAGAAGCAACATGGAAGGGTCCCAGGGCCCAGCACAGAGAACTGGGTGCTCAGAGCCTGTAATAGAACTGGGGCCTTTGACCTGCTCTAATCTTAGTGAAATAACTCACCGGTCAGGTGGTGCTGAAAATACCTTCCCTCCCTACCTCACAGGAGACAACCTGGATGCCTGGCTTGGTTATTATTTAGAAGGCATTAACTCTTAGCCACAGGTCTGTACTCCTGTTATAACAGGGAAGATAAGGAGAAACTGAGGCAAGGGAAATCTATATTGTGTACTAGAAGGGATTCAGCCAGGATGCCTTGTCTCTGTCATCGGGTGGTCACAACTCCACTGAGACAGGTGGAGCAATTTCTGCAGGACATGAAGGCCACGGCAGTCGTTTGTACAGTTCTCAACAAACAGCAAAGTCCACTTGTCAGTCCTGCAGGAGCCCTACGCAGTCTCCCTTTGGCTTGGGAACAGTTAGAACAAAGCAGAGGCCAGCACACAAAGTAGTCATCGTGAAAGAATGAAGCAAAAGATGCGGCCTGAATGATACAGGGTGAATCTAACAGAAACTCTAAAAGAGGTGGGAAGATTCCAAGCCAAAACCCAACAAAGATGTCCTGTCCACAAAGGCCACTTAACTGTCACTAGAGATTCCCAGCAGCCCCCTCTCCACCCATACTTTCCCGCAATGGCCAATTAGCTGGCCATGTGTGTAGAGGGGGTCACTCCTCTATTGATAGCTTGGTCCCGTTCCCCACCCTGCCTGCCCTACTCCATCATTTCATGGGTCAGCTGTTCAGACGCGCCAAACTCTCCTAGAACCCCAGCTTTTGGAAATGCTCAGAAAGTAACATTAGCAAAGGGTTTAAGGACCTAGAAAAGAAAGCAATTGTGTGGCTTTAGTAGCCATGAGAATAAAAGAATGAGCTGGTAAATAATAGCTCAGCAATTCAAAAGAAAAAAGTGGGAATGGTACTAGTCACCGAAAGCACCCAGCATCCTCTTGTTCAAAAGCATCATTTTAAGCCACTAACAATGAGACAACTATCCCTGCACTTGGTTTGGGAAGGAGAGAGAGAGATGGGAGAGGGAGAGAGAGAATTAGAGAACAAGGACAAGGGAGAGAAAGAGAAAGAAGCGCTTAGGAACTCTGAAGAATTCTATGGCAGCACTTCCAAAAGAATCTTCTACGATAATGGAAATGTTCTATCTCCACATCATCAGGAGGGCAGTCAACTGGCCCCTTGACATGCCTGAGAAATTTTTAATCGTGTTTCATTTTCATTAATTTAAATAGCCCCACCTAGGGAATGCCTACAAAATCAGACAGCAGAGTTCAATGGGAATTTGCCCACCCTCTGAGTACCACAGTTGATGGCTAAATTTGAAGCAGAAACACGTATATATGTTTAATGAAATGCTCCGTACTGGCTCCTCACTCATCATTAATGGTCCATTAATCATTTACTCAATAAGCAGTCTGCTGAAGCACTTACTATGTGCCAAACACTTACTGAGATCAGGGGGTAAAATAGTACAACATAGTCCTGGCCCTTATTGTTTCTAATGGGCGGGCTGGCAATAAAGAGCATACAGCAGGTGAATGGGTATGCGCTGCCCCCGGGGAAGGCATGTAAGGACAGAAAGCGCCTAGTGGAAATGGTCCTTAAACAAAATGTGTTGGGGAAAGTTTACTTCCTGCAAGTGGGCAGGGTTAAACACGCAGACAGTCCTGACCAAAGTGAGCCACGAGGGTGCAGGATACAGTATGTCCAATAACATCTTTCTAAATGCAACACTGGGTTGCCCTAAAAGTAAGTATTTGCAGATGCAAACAGTCCTAAAAAGCCAGACAACTGCGAGCAAGCAAGCCCTCCCCCTGGCTTCTCACCAGAAGGTGTACTTCATATCTATGGTGAGTTTTCCATTTGCTTGGGATCTCTCTCTTGGAAATCTTCTTGTCATTGTTTTGATTTCTTTGAGAAGTCTTTGTTCTGCGCTCACTCTTGGAGGAGTTTTAATGGGTATAAATTCCAGTTGGTTGTTGGTTTTGTTTTTTTTTTTCTTGACACCCTGAAAATATATCCCACAGTGTTCTGGCTTCCATTTTGCTGTTTAATCAGTTGGTCTATCTGCTCCAAGCTCCTTGGTAGGTTTTGTTTATTTCTGGTTGCTTTGAAGATCTCTTTGCTTTTTTATGTTCTACAGTTTTATTATCATTTATACTTCAGAAATCATAATCTGTCTGAGTGCAGACTTCTTTGTTCTGTCTGTTTGAGACTCAATTTCCTACATTTGGATATTACCACTATTTTCAAATTTTCTCAGCCATTGTGTTCTTCAAACATTGTCTCCTTGCCAGTCTCCATTACCTCCATCTGGAGCTTTTGAATAGATGATATTGGGCCTTTTCATGCTGTCCTCTCAGATTTTAAACCATTTCGTCATATTCTTATTTCACTGTTTTTCTGGGCTACATGGAAGAGAGTTAATCTACACCAAATATTTGTAACTTTCTCATCACCTGCATTTAATATGTAATTTAACTGAGTTTTAAATTTCAGTTGCTTAAGGCATCAATCCTAAAACGAATTTTCCTCACATTTCAAAACCTTTGAAATCAAGATGCACTGTGCAGCTGTGTCGCAGCTTCAGGTAAGTAGCAGTGGTTTCGATGGCAAATAAAGATCCCACTGTTTCTTATGATCAGTCCTATTTTATCATCAACAAAATAGAGCATCTGCTTTTTCATTTGTAATTCGAGTTGATGTTTCTTCCAGCTCAACTAACCAAATTCCTGGTCCTTTCCAATGCGTGCTAGGCAAGTTTGATCCACTAAGCTCTACATGCTTAGTCTTTTTCTTTTCTTTTCTTTTTTACAGTTGCACACATTTGTGCAATGCGTGGTGCTCATGACCTCACATCCACCTCTATGGCTGCCCTCTCTCCTCTCCAAATTCTTTCCTCTTCCCAAAAGATCCCTTAGTTGGCTGTGCCATTAAAAAAAGTGAAATCGTCCAGGGAAGCCTTGAATGTGCTGTCCTCTTGCCTGAGTGCCCAGTAGCTTGCTTGCTTGCAAGGCCTTAGCTAGTGGAGCAGCTGTATTGCTGTTATTTAACTTAAATGGCAAGGTTCAGAGATCCAGTTAATTCCTTTCACCTCACAGCCTAATGGCTAGGAAAAATTCAACAACTGAAAAACTGTATTTGAAAAAACAAAGACCATAAGAAAAGTCGAGTTAACCCTGAAGATGAGAGGCGTCCTCAGTCTAACATTATTGAGACAATGTAATACTATAGTGAGGTAAGTAGATCATAGGAGCACAGAAATAAGCCCCAACACTTTTGAAAAGTTCATCTTTTTAGACACAGCACAGCAGATCAATGTGGAGCGGGCAGAGTAGACAATGGCTGTGGCTGGAGCTAGTGTAGGTCTGCACGGGGAAATGAACTGCGATCTCTATTGTATCACATACAAAAATCAATCCCAGGTAGATTAAAATGCTCAGACGCAAAGGTAAAACCATAGAGCTTTTAGAAGACAACGTCGGAGACTTTTTTATACATAGCATTGGGGTAAGAAATAGCTTTTCAAACAAAACATAGGAAGTGAAATAAAGGCTTGCATGAAGGGAGAGATGGTAAAAACAACTGCATTAAAGTGAGGAGCCTCTGGCTCTATCAAAAGCTTCAGGGAATTAAGATATTCAAGCAGGGTGGCTCTTTGAGGCCAGCCAAGGCAACATGCTGAGACCCCACCCATCTCTCCACAGAACCAAAGCAAATCAAAAGAAGAAAGAACAGTAAAGAAAAGATTGCCAGGCATGGTGTACACACTTGCACCCACTACTGAGGTCGAGGCAGGACGATCCCGAGTTAGAGGACAGTCTGGCATACACAGTGATACTCCGTCTCAAAATACAATTAAAAATTAATTTATTCTAGTGTCAACATAAACAGTAAGTGAAAGCTGTCTAAATCTGACACAGTAGTGCACGGTCATAATCCCAGCCATTCGGGGGGTTGATATAGACAGCTCCCAAGTTCAAGGCCAGCCTGAGCTCCATATAATGTGTCGGAGGCCAGCGTGGGCCACGTAACAAGACCACATCTTAAAGAAAGGACATCTGTTTTTAATATTCTAAATTAAGAACTGGGAGGACATATTTACAACATATAAAACTGGTGAAGAATTCATATTTAGGACATATAAAGATATGTGAATCGATTTCTATAAATTGTTTTTTAATGAAAGGTTATATCACAGAAGAGGGATCATACATAAATGGCCTACAAATGTACAAAATTCAGTCAGATAACAGCAAGTTTAACCACATCATGCCACCAAATTAGCAAAAGTTTAAAAACTCAGCCAGTGATAAGAGTACACTTTCTCGTCTCCTCTTGGGAGAGATTAAAATGAAATAATGTCAGAAGTTGGTAGAATTAGGTTGAGGAGATAACTCAATAGTAGAGTACCTACCTAGTCAGGTATACAGCTCTGGGCTCTGCCCCCAGCATGTGGAAAATGTCCTTTTTGTTGCCATCACACTAGCTAGTAAGGTAGCAAATGTACTGTGCACGAATGTCCTGCCTACAGCCCGAAGAAAGGAGATGTACCAGAGTACGTGTACAAGACGGCACAACAAGATGGAAATGAGAGCCAGGCATGGTGGAAACCTCTTTAATCTCAGCACTCAGGAGGCAGAGAGGCAGGGTCTCTCTCGGTGAGTCCAGCCCGGACTACATAGTGAGACCCTGTCTCAAGAACAAACGAACAAAAGGATTGGAGAGGAATCAATACCAGGTACAGGTGGACAAACCTTAAAGTGAAGCAGCAAAGTCAGACACACACACACACACACACACACCCCTATGTGATAAGAGGAAAAGCAAAGAAATGAATAGTGCAGGCTGGTGGTTTTGTCTGGGGGAGAGGAGGGTGTGCATTTGTGGGGCCATAAAGCTATTAAGTGGCGTTGTTGTTTCTTGTTCTGGGGCTGAATTGAACACTGAACATAAAACCAGACTATGTTTGTCCAATGTATTTTTAAATGAATGGATGGGTAGCTTACAGAAAATGCCAAAATGTTAAAATCTTATTGTCCCTCTTTCTTCTTTCAGGGAGGATGGATAAGATATGGTGTTTCACGCTGCAGCCAGGCTGGCCTCAGGTCCCATAGCAAGCTTCCTGCCTCTGCTTCTCAAGTTCTACGACTACAGGTATGAGCCATCATGTCCAGCTTATATTCATACTTTTCATAGTGAGAAATCGATCCAAAAAAAAAAAAAAATGCCCCAAACTGAAAAGTCAGGAAGCAGCCGTGTACACTCTTACCTGGATTTATAAATTCAAGTCACATCGCTGCAAGAGTGGGCAGGACTCTTCATAGCAAGTGTTTACAAGGGTTTCACTCTGCAAACAAGTCTACAAAGTGTAAC